CGAGCGCCCTGGACGCTCCAGCACATCAACAACCGATGACAACGTCGGAAAAGTGAAGAAAATGATTATGGACAATCGCCGAATCACTATCAGAGAGGTTGCTGATGATGTTGGCATATCATTTGGCTCATGCCAAGCAATTTTTTCGGATGTTTTGGGCCTGAGATGTGTGGCAGCAAAATTTGTTCCGAAATTGTTGAATTTCGACCAAAAGCAGTGCCGAATGGGCATTGCTCAGGAGTTGCTGAATGAAGTCAACGACGATCCAGAACTGCTCAAACGAGTCATAACTGGTGATGAAACATGGGTGTACGGATATAATGTCGAAACTAAGGCCCAATCGTCCCAATGGAAGCTTCCTGAAGAGCCAAGACCGAAAAAAAATCGTCAAGTTCGATCGAATGTGAAGGTTCTGCTCACTGTTTTCTTCGATTTCAACGGCATAGTATATCATGAGTTCTTGCCACCAGGTCGTACGGTCAATAAGAAGTACTACCTGGAAGTTCTACGCCGTTTGCGTAAAGCGATCCGAAAAAAGCGCCCGGATTTGTGGCGAAACAACTCATGGCAATTGCACCATGATAATGCACTTGCTCACACTTCACTGCTTGTTCGTGAATTTTTGGCCAAAAACAACACCGTTATAATGCCTCAACCTCCGTATTTGCCGGACATGGCCCCCTGCGACTTCTTCCTATTTCCGAAGATAAAAAAAACCATGAAAGGACGACGTTTTGCCAACATTGAGGAGATAAAGACAGAATCGCTGAAGGAGCTAAACGCCATACCGAAAATTGCGTTTCAGAAGTGCTTCGAAGATTGGAAAAAACGCTGGCACAAGTGTATTATATCTAATGGGGACTACTTTGAAGGGGACAAAATTAATATTGATGAATAAATAAAGATTTTTTGAGAAAAACAAAAATTCCGCGTATTTTTTTATCAAACTTCGTATATTATACATTATTCAAAGGACCCTGCACGTTTTCTATGGAAAAATGACCCCGGTCAAATTGCTCCGTTCTAAAATATGTTGTAGTTTTTATAATTCTGAACAAATTTTTCCTGTGTCATAAGCACGTAAAATCAAAGGGTAGAGAAATATGGAGCTCTGAAGTCATAGAATTTGAGTGTCTGCCATATTTCTTTCAGATAACTCAACCTCCGTATTTGCCGGACATGGCCCCCTGCGACTTCTTCCTATTTCCGAAGATAAAAAAAACCATGAAAGGACGACGTTTTGCCAACATTGAGGAGATAAAGACAGAATCGCTGAAGGAGCTAAACGCCATACCGAAAATTGCGTTTCAGAGTATGCCATATCTCTTTTAGATAACCTGATGCCTTTTTTGTGTGTAATGGGTACATATGCACGTGTATTCGTAAATATTGTGTGCGTGTGAGTGCGAGCGTGTGTGCATGCGATTGTGTGTATGCGCGCGCGCGCGCATGCGTGTATCCCTATCTAAAAGAGGCATGTTATGTCGATACTCGAAAGTCTCGAAGTGTATTGTTGCCTCTTTTCTGCGATGCTGATTGGTTCTATCCAAAAAGAATTAGATAGAGTAGAAGGTCCCATAAGAGCGTAATGTATTTTTGCGTATACAGTTTTCAGTGCCCTCTCGCGAGTCTGATGCCCTAAGTGTATATCTCCCATTCCCGATATTACGCGATATAGAATTCGTATTGATGGAAGCACTTATTTCATGCAATCAATGTCACTTTTTGATCAAAGTGAAATGTGTTACATAATAAATTTTAATAGTTGCGATCGAATTTGAACAAGAAGAAGTTAAGTAATTGGGCATCAGACTCGGTAGATGGCATTGATCGCTGTATACGCTTACCATCCACTCTATCTAATCCTCTTTGGTTCTGTCATTGCGCTTACTTCGTGAGCGGCTGTCATTGCATATTTTGACAGTTATTTTGTGTATATATCGTTACAAATGTTTAGTGAAAAAGAATAAATGGCGCGCGTTGCGTTGTGCTAGTATGTATATAAAGTGTTTCATGAATACACTTGCACTCATAAAACTACTAACCTAATCTAATCCCAACAAACAAATATTCATATACGCACGCACGCACGCACGCACACGCACATAACATTCACGAATACACGTGCATATGTACCCATTACACATAAAAAAGTCATCTGTTTATCTGAAAGAGATATCACAGATACTCAGATTCTATGACTTCAGAGCTCCATATTTCTCTACCCTTTGATTTTACGTGGTTCTGACAAAGGAAAAATTTGTTTAGAATTATAAAAACTACAACATATTTCAGAACGGAGCAATTTGACCGGGGTCACTTTTCCATAGGAAACGTGCGGGGTCCTTTGAAAAGATATAACAAATAACATTAATTTCTTTATGTAAAGATTATTATTTTGTTGATGTAAAAACTGTTTCTTAAAAACAAAACTTTATCTAAAAAATTTTTATTCTATTTTTTTGATTTTTGTTATTTTATTATATGTAAAATTATTAACTTTTTTATTGTTCTACAAATAGGTAGTATATTTTTTGTTTTTATGTATTACAATCATACGAGATCTGACAATAAAATAATGAAACTGACATTTTTCCTCTTATATTGGCAATTCTGCAGGTTTTTTACCTCTGATATGTTTGACTTTGATTCTTCCTTGTTCCAGCTCCAGCTGGCATGGCCTTGCATTCTGTCAGTCTGGAATGGCTACTTGAGATGTTAAGACGAGTTTGTGTTTCTAACGAAAAAAAGATGGCATAATATTGCATAGCGATATGCCATCTTTTTTATGTGAAACTAGATGATAATACTATGAACATATGGAAAGCTTTTGGAAACGAGCACAAGTCTTTTGCTGGCATAAAACATTTTCTGAAAGCAGAACTGTTATTGAAGACTAACAGCGCGGTCATCCATCATTAAGTGGACATCCATCAATAACATGGAGAGACGATAATTCAGTCAAAGTGAAGAAACTTGTACAATTCGATCGAAGATTAACAATTAAAATGATTGCAGAATTTTCCAGAATGGTGTACCGCTGTACGATCCTATTTTTGTTACAAAAAACACAAATCCGTCTTAACATCTCAAGCAGCTACTCCAGATTGACAAAATGCAGAGTCATGCCAATTGAAGCTGGAATGGGAAAAGGACCAAGGTCAAATATGATTACAAATAACAAGCTACAGGGTTGCCAATATAAAAGAAAAAGATCAGTTTCCTTACTTTATTGTCAGACCTCGTATATTAATGATAGCTTGCAATAGGTGACAAGTTGTAGAAATAAACTCATCCGTGCGGAAAAGCTGATCAGCGGATTAGGCGGAGAAAAGGATCGTTGGACTGCAATCGCTGAAAAACTGCAAATGTCGTTCAAAGCACTGCCTGGCGATATCCTGATATCTTGCGGTATGATTGCATATCTAGGACCCTTCACAGCCATTTTTCGCATCGAGTGTTTAGAAAAATGGCGGGTGCACGTAATGAATTCGAATATACCTTGCTCGCAAGAATACAACTTTGTCGAAATATTGGGCTCGGAAATCAAGATTAATTCTTGGAATATATTCGGTTTGCCACGAGACGCCTTCTCCATTGAAAATGCCATTATAATGGATAATTCGAATAGATGGAGCCTGTTTATTGATCCGCAGGGTCAAACCAATAAATGGATCCGCAATATGGAAAAAACGAACGAGCTCGAAATCGTGAAACTGATCGATCACAATTATATGGATATTATCGAGAAGGCGATTGAACACGGTATTTAAATATATACATATATATACACACATACAAAGCTGAGAAGTAACACGTTGCGCTTGTAACGAATTTTGTTACAAATTTTGTTACAAAGGACCACGCACGATTCATATGAAAAAAACGTTTTCGATCAATTTGCTTGAATTTGTGATATGTTATAGTTCTTGTGTCCCTGATCAAAAATGTCAAGTTACAGAAACTCTCTATGTCCAGTTTTTGAATTATACGGGTATAC